GTACTCATTGTGATGAGATGGGGCAGGCAGGTCTCCATGAACTTATTACGCTCTGTCTGAGACTCTATACATGTCCTGGTGATTTGGATATAAGAGGTTACGATAAGTACAACTTGAAATATGTGAAAAACAGTAAAAAAGTAGCCATATACATTATTTAATGTGGTATCTACACAGGCCAGCTTAACTAAGTCCCAATTAAAACAATAAAGCTTATCAATTCTGGATCCACACAAGGGCAGCCTGGCTGTGAATACAATACCGACAACTGTCTCAATGAAAGATAAGAACCACGTCATCTGCACCAACATTCCTACCTTCTGAGGTGTCATAATGGAGTGATACTCCAACGGTTTGCATATTGCGACATACCTGTCATAAGCCATTACTGATAAATTAGCAGTTTCACAAATGAGATACGTGTAGATTCCAAATATTTGGATTATACATGCAGAGTATGAGATCACATGAGAGTCTGACAGAAGGTCAATCAGTAGCTTTGGATAGAAACTTGTAGAGCCACAAATGCTGTTTACACACAGATTACACAGGAATATGAACATGGGCTCATAAAGAATTTAAATTCTGTAAATTCACAAAAATGGTGAAAACATAGGCAAGAAGAGAAAGGCCAAAAAAGATCTGTCTCTTTGTTTTAGTCTCATTCGTTCAAACCATGGAGTTCAAAAACAAGTTCACTGGAAGAGTTCTCCATCTGATTTGATTTGACGTCTGAGCTTCTTCCTAACTGAGCGTCTGGACCTGGTTTGCATGGCTAACAGACCTGCTCCGAAGAACCACAACGCTGTACAGTCAGGATAAATACTGACTTTGGTCTCGTCATATTAACTGCCTGTAGGATTGATTCAGAAGGATCCCGTTCTAATTGTCTGATGCATTAACCTCTGCCAGATTATATAGTATTGCCATGTCCTCCACTGTATGGCTGTTTGATTCCTCTGTCAGTTTGGCAGACCTGTAGGCCTTTATATGCTTCTGGATTCTGTTGTTGTTGCCTCTATGCTATGTTACAAAAAAATTACATGACTCCACAGTCACACCCAGAAAAACATGACAATCACAGTCCTAATTAGCTCTGCAGGGATATTGCATTGGTTTGGTCAATCGCAAGAAGGGCTTGAACTACTATTGATTTAATCGTCCAGCACTAGGTTAATTTACTTATGCCCACATTAATGTCTTGTTAATGTAATATTTATGTCTTTTGATGACATACCATTTTTAAATTTAGAGAGGGTTACTATATCAATCTAAATTTAAAATAAGTAATCTAAATTTACTTATCTAACTATACAATCATGTCTCAGATCATGTTTCATTCAATTTTTTAAATGAATCACACGTTCACAGAATTCCGCTTTGTGCAATGAAATAAAAGATGACAGTGGGTGAGAAATTTATTTAATAAACAAGAAAACCATGAATGGCAACAAGAACTTAAAAAGAAATCTGTGGATACCAGGATTCCAGACACTGAATTTCTCTTGCACAAAAAAATAGTACTTTGT